ACTCATCATTTAACTGAAACTGCTAAGTTCAAAATTGATGGTCTCTTGATGGCCAAATATAATGGTCTTTTATCAGTCCTCATCCCTCTTGACTTCTTTGTACCCTTTGTCTCTCTTAATCATCTGTTTTTCCTTGATATTCTCTTCTCTCTAAGTTTTTGTGATACTACTCTTTCCTTGTTCTCCTCCTACTTATCTGATATCACCTTCTCAGTCTCCTTTACTGCATCTTCATTTAGGTCACATCTCCTGTGGGACCTGTCCTGTGCTCCCTTTTCTTCTCATTCTATCCTGTTTCATTTGGTGATCTCATTGGTTCCCATGTATTCAGTTATCATCTCATCAGTTGCTCCTAGGATAGAATACATACCACTGAGGTATTTTTTCAGCCTAGCTCCTCAAGTTTATTGTCCGTTTTTCCTTTTCAAACTCTATTGACTACACAAACTGACTTTCTTGTTAGTCCTTGTTCAGAGCATGCCATCTCTGGATAGGCTTTTCCCTTCTGCTCGGAATGTACTGTGCTCTCTCTTTTGACTCTTAGCATCCCGATTTCCCTCCAAAGAACAACTCAAGTGCTACTTACTACCTCCTACAGGAAATATTTCAATTTCCCTCTAGATGCTTTTTCCTCCCACCCTGACCAAAATTACTTATTATTTACTTTATATGTTTTGTGTTTATGTACAATGTGTACACATTGTTTCTTCTCAGTGAATTATAAGTTCCTTGAGGGCAAGGACTTTAAAAAATGGCTTTTATTAAAATCTTGATGATAAATCTGTCAATCGAAGAAACAGTGTTTTATCTGCATTAAAGAGATGGCAGAAAATTAGATTTGGCTTTTATCTCAGAGCTCTTACAGTTGTTCCCTTATTCTCCTTAACAATGCCAATTCTGTTTTTACCTTCTCTTGCATATTTCTACTTAATCTTTTAATCCTTTTCTTATATTTTAGAGATGAAGGTAATATGATTTGAATATTTTTCCCCCAGAATTAAGATAGTTACTTGTTTATTTAACATGGTTTTATAAGTTATTGAAGCTAGAGTGTGATCAGTTATTAGTTATTGATGAAGCTGTCAATACCACATACCTTGCCTGCTATATTTATCCTTATGCCAAAAGAGTCATATACAAAATACAACAGGAAATGAAAGTAGAAAATCACCAAGGTGTTTCCAATAAATTGGCTACAGTATGATTTTTATTCTGTGACAGAGAACAATACCTACTCCTCAAATCAAAGATAACAGTTTTAGGAGTAGTAAATTATGAATTTAGAAATCTTTATTCATAGGATTCTAGATCATGAGTTCAGAATTAAAGTGGCCTTCTTATTAGAATTTGATCATAAATATATTTAATTATGTATGTACTGTGCATTTTCAGATTGATAACTGGAGATGGAGATCTGGGATTTTATAATTGTCCCGTATCCTATGGTGTACCTGAAATTAGTGTCATTAGGTAGCTTGCTAATCAGGAAGGCCATTGAGCCTTCTAACTTCTAAACAGAGTTAAAAAAAAATTTGTGTGTGTGTATATGTGTGTGTGTGTATATATATATTTATAAATGAAATTTGCTTTATTATAAAGTATTGTGGCCTGGCCCTAGATTCAGAGTGACCTGAGATCAAGTTTCACCTCTAACAAAAACTGCCTTTGTTACTGTGGGCAAATCTCTTAGTGTTATAGTGAGGTACCAGCTTTCTTAGATTCTAAGCTGCCAAAAAGTTGCTGATCTGCATTTTTAGATTGAGTTTTTTCACTAAGAGATCCTTACCCAGATAAAATTGTAGGTTTTTGTGTTCCACTGTTCCCAACTTCCCCCAAACCCCCTCAAGTTGTGAAGCAGACAAATAATCCCACCTATAAAAATTAAGTTGAAACAAAAGACAACAGGTATTTTTTTTTTTTTTACTACAGATACATCCTGAAATGCAGACTAGACTAATCAGGGCCAAGAATATAGGTCATTATTTAAAAAATACAGTACTAAAATTGAAAATAATAAACAATACTAGAAAACAAAACTAATCTTTTTTTATATGTAGAGGATAGGGAACAGTGTTGACAATAACTGCTTTTGTGGCATAAATTTGGTTGCATGTAAAGTGGGAAAGAATGAAGAAAGGAGAAAGAGTGACTAAATGTAAGACCTCACATAAATATACTAAAGGGAAGGAATGATGACTTACTTTCTTTACTCAGTCCTCTCTGGAAGCAGCAAGGTGCCTCAGTGGATAGATTGATAGGCCTTGGTTAAGGAAGACCTGCATTCAAAATGGCCTCAGGCACTTACTAGCTGTGTGATCTGGGCAAGTCATTTAACCTCTGTTTGCCTTAATGGAGAAAAAAATGGCAAGCCACTCCAGTATCTTTGCCAAGAAAACCCGATGAACTGTATGGTCCACAGGATCATGAAGAGTTGGGCACAACTAAAATGACTCAACAAGCCCTCTCTGGTTGTATCAGCAGTAAGCGGGAGAGAGGCCAATATGTTGTGATGGGTTGTCTGGCCACAGAACTTTTTGATGTTATTTTACCTCATGAGAATGTTTTGGCCAAATGATTGACACTTCACATATCCTAGTTACATTCAGATAGCTATACTGAATGTATTAAGACAGACTGGGCCTTGATTGTGATATGACAGTATTTTATTAAATTAACTCTTATTATGTGACATTCTCTACTGTGGATTTTCTAGACCATGTCCATACCTTTCTCCTAACAAGCTTATTACCTTGTTTTTACTGCTTTACTGTGAAGTGTTGGGATTATCAGGATTATCTGATAGGTAGTATTTTTTGTGGACCCGTGTCCTCCTTTTCTGATGTTTACCCACAAAGACTTATTTACTCTCTCCTCCTTAGTGAGAAAAGTATTAGGACATTTGTCCAGAGATGATGTCCTCCCAAAATAGAGCATTTATTATGTGTTTAGTATGTGCTAGGCACTATGCTAAGTGCTAAGAATACAAATCCAGCAAATAAGACAGTCTGCAGGGGACTTATATTCTAGTGGAGGAAGACAACATATAAAGCAAAGTTGGAAAGGGGATGGGGTTTTAAAGGGAGGGAGCCAGGCAGAGGTAAGGGATATTATTAATAATAGCTAACATTTATATAGCATTTACCATGTGCCAGGACAGGTGGTAACTGGGAAGTGAGTTGGAGGCTTGTTCCTGGGCAAGATAAGGCTAAAGCTCACCTTTCAGTGCCACAGTGGTTTTTGGGGTTTTAGAAGTTGGTGCTTAAACTGAAATTTGAAGGAAGAAGGGGAATCTCTGAGCCTGGGGTAAGGAGAGGGTACAGGGTACATTCTAGGTATGAGGGTGATAGGAGATGGAATGCTGTAGTTGAGGAACAGAAAGAAAATCGGTTTGCCTGGACCATGGAATGTAGAAATGGACTCTGTTCCTGACTTTCAGACCATTTCTTAACTTCTGTCTTGGAATTTCCCTAAAGACTTGGGGTGGGTCTCCTTGCCCTGAATAATCCAATCATCCCTGTAGCCTTCTTAACACTGGAATACCCTTCTTCCAGGCCCCTTTTCCCAGTGGTGAGTTACTTCTAGAGCTTCCATTTTGTGGAGAGACCTAATCTAGCCAGCAATCATTATCCTTTTGGCTCAGATCCTCACTTCCAGACTTTGAAATAATGAAGGAACTTCAATCAATCACCCCTACCCAATTAATGTAAATTCACCCCCACCCCAATTAATGTAACTAACAAGATACTTGTGCCCCAATATCTTTATAAGTGAGAATGTCTCTTTGAGTTTTAGAACAAAGACGTAAAATAGTTGTGGAAAAAGTCCTTAATTAATTTGTAAGGAGTTCAATGCTTGTGCCCATTGAAAAAATGAATATTTTCTCATTCGATTTATTATTGTTTGGATCAGATGTTTATTTCAGGTTTTCCTTTGGTGGAGTTGAGCAATCTGTCTCTGTTTAGTCTTCCATCTTGGCCAGAAATATCCTTGTGCCCACCTTTCTCTAGTCTCTGTTTAAACTTGTAGAAAATTGTGTCCCAGACTTTTTTTTTTGGGGGGGGATTGTGATGGTATGTTTTTGGTATGCTCCTTATTTGTACAAATACAAACAGAATTAGAAATATATATACTAAGATATAAGAAAACAATATAATAAGAAAACAAATAAATTTGGTGTATAATTTGCCTATAAGTACCAATTTATTTGAATTAGAAAGTTGATACTGGTGAGTTATGAAAATTACTTCTTAAAATAAAGCCTACTTTTTGCAATGCAAACTATTTTTCTTCCTTTCTATTTTTAAATTTAGAGGTGAATCAGTACTCTGTCCTTCACAATATTTTTAGGGTTTGAGATGGAATGCTCGATAGCTTTAGGGTTTTAGCAATGCCTTCCACAAATTATAAACCAAATTTGACATTTCATGTTACTTGTGTACTATCTCTACCACTTACCTTCATATGCCATTCATTATGGGACAAGGGCAACAACTAGAATATACCCAAGATGACTTGTACTTCTAGGTAGTCAGGGAGAAAAAAACCACAAATTTAATTTGTTTTCTTATATATTATATATATTTTCTTATGTATTATTATATTTCTAATTCTGTTTTGTCGTTGTTTTAGCAAAATAAAGAAATTAGTACTGTAGGTAGCAGTTTATTTCTGTCCAGGCTTTGACATTTATTAACTGTAGAACTGAACTAGTCATGTAATTTCTCAGCCTCAGTTTCCTCATCTGCAAAATTAGCCCAGTAGTACTTTATCTTCCCATTCTTTTATAATGCTCAACTCTAGCAGAAATAAGTTTGTTTTTCTTAAAATGTGTGTATGCATACGTGCAGCTTTTTTTATTGGTTTATGTACCTTTCAATGGATATTAATATTTTCTGATGGTTTGATTGTTGTAGACAAATTCACATGATTTGGAACCCCCCCCACACACCATTTTTCTTCCATTTTATTAAACTCAGTTTTTATTATTTCATTTATTTTAGCTGGAGTGACAGCAGAATCCATTCAGACTGCGACTGCCAGTCCAGATGCCTTGGGGACTGAAACTAAAGTCCAAGAAGAAGAGCACGATCTTGTTGATGATGACATCACAGCAGGTATTTGTGACAGTGATATAATCTTTATCAAGATACGCACAGTTCTTTTTAAAAAATCATCTCGTTGTTCAGAATGAGAGGAATTATAATTTTCTAAGTAAGAGCTCATCTAATTCTGTTATCTAATGATGTACACAAGTAGAAAGGGAGAATACAAGATGAGTCAGTTAGGTGATTAGGTATTTAGCACTGGCAGTTTAGGGCCTTAGAAGTATAGAGTAAGGGTGGAATAAGCAGTTTCTTTCAAAATCTAACAAATTAGACAAGATAAATAAGTCAGTTCAAGTTCAGTAAAATGCCATTATAAATACAAGTAAAATCATGTCTCATAATTAGATGAACTGTGAGGCACCTTCTGGCTCTAAAATGTTATGAGTGCGTGTGTGTGTGTGTGTGTGTGTGTGTGTGTGTGTGTATATGTATCCGCATTTATCTCCCTTTGACATAGAAAACATAAATACCTTTGTTGAGATAGCATTCTAGTGAATTTCTAGTATTCGTGGCAGAAGAATACTATATTTATGAGTGCGAAAGAGCTATAAAGGGATTGTGCTGATGCATTTTCAGAGTGGTTGATGGTAAGTAGGAAAAATAAATGATGTAGTCCTGTTTGGAGCTGAGTGGATTTTCTCAGTATTTCACCCTTGTGTCTCTTCTGCCTTCTCCCATCCCTTGCAGCCTCTTTCCAGTCACTTTTTTTCTTACTTCACTATTCATTTTGTAGCCATTAGGTGTTTCATGGAAGTCATCTTAAGCCATTCCCTAAAAACTGTGAGTTATGTAAAGGGCATAGGAAGACTTTAAACAATTATGGAATTATATGAATTTGGAATTCCTTAGGGTAAGGAAGAATGAAAAACATTCATTCTTAAACAAATGGTTGTGGCTTAGTAGAAGATAGCACAAATAGTGAAGCTGTAATTAGTTGATAGAGAGCCATTAAGGTCTTAGTTTTCTAAAGGCCAATGGGAGAGTTAGATATATTGTTGAAATAGTGACATAGATGATGATGTTGGTATTGTGAGGCTATAGGTGGAGAAGTCAACAAGAAGTTATAGTGTAAGTTGTTATTGTTCAGCCATTTCAGTCATGTGTAACTCTTCATGACCCCATTTGGGGTTTTCTTGGCAGAGATACTGGAGCAATGTGCTATTTCCTTCTCCAGCTCATTTTACAGATGAGGAACTGAGGCAATTAGGATAAAGTGATATACCCAGGGTCACATAGCTAATATGTGTCTGAGGCCAGATTTGAACTCAGGAAGATGAGTGTTCCTAACTTCAGGCCCAACACTGTATCCCCTGTACCTGTAGTAGTGTAGGTACCATATTGGAAAGGCATACACATGTATAATATGTATTGGAGAAAGAAATTGTGGGACTTGATGCATGCCTTTCACCTCACTTCACTCTAATTGTAAAAGGTTACTTCGGGTGATGATATATAGCTCCTATGGGATTGAAGTATTGGGTAGCCAAAAAAAAGGATGGGTAAAATGAAAACCACTGAGGAATTATATTCCACTTTCTGAAACTGACTGTATGGCAATGTATAGTCTAACTTCAAGTCTAACTGAGAAAGACTTTTTGATGGTGGTATTTATTTTCTGTATGACTGCCTCTGATACTATATCATGTAGCTTGAAAAGTTTCATCATTATTATTAACGTTAAATAGCAAGATAGTATTCATTGCTTAGTATTTTTTCCACCATCAGAGGAGTAATTTGTTTTAATTCAGCTCTAGGCAGGGCATATAAGGAGGTTATCTGTTAGTGGTTGTATAGACAGCAGTAGTGTGATGAACTGAATTGATGTGATCGCAGCTAAAAAAGGTAGCAGAAATGCTTTAAGGACACTTTTCACAAGACTGTATAATCTAGGAAACTACATCAGATAATGCTATGTATATATAGTGTGATGAAGCTGGGGAAGTTTTTTTGATTGTTTTTTTGGAATGATGGTGTCATTTTGAAACCATCAGGCAAAAATAGCTGCACCACAAATAGCAATATGCTCTAGGCACAATAGCTTTATTGGCAAACCAAAGTCCAATCTACATTTACTTAATAGAGAAATGACTAATGGCTAGTGTTGATGATGCTGTTCTCTAGCAAAATCTTTGAGTGCTTAAAGCAATAGAGTTACGTGATATAAACATTCTGGCTGGTCTGGAAAGATTTATAAACATTTTGATGGAAACTTTAAAAAAAGTATATCTAGCAATATAAGCAAGATTCTGTGATGTTAAACAGTCTTATAAGACAGTCATTAGTTTTGTAGAAATAAATAATTTTAAAATGAAATATGTGACTTGGCATTATGTACACAGTAAAATTTAAGACAGTCAACAAGCATTTATTAAGGGCTTACTTGTATGCTGGTTATTGTACTGACACTGGGGGCACAAAGAAAGGCAAAAAAACATCCCTGGCCTTTAAGTAGCTACAAACTAAATGGAGATTATTTATAACATTTAAAAACACTTTCATTTATGAGTTGGCAGTGTTAAAATTATATCTAAAAGTAAAATTGTGATCTAAGTAGTTCACTGTGTAATTAGCTATGTATGTGTATAACAAACATACACATACAAATATAACCAGTAGTTAATGGCAAAATGTAACCTGTTGAGTTGTCTGTTCTTATCTTATTGTAAATCCATTATTATCCTAGTTCAGCTGAGCACCTCCTAACAGCCTTTTACCACCTGAGTGGATTTAAAATGTTTCCATTGGGAATAGAGTTGAAGGAACCTAATGATCTCCCTAGACAATTGCAAACCCAAAGCCTGATTCATTAGAGAGCTTTAAAACTTGAGCCACATACAGTGCAAGTAGAGTTAGTTGCCTAACTTGGGATGGTTCTGGTTTTAGCCATATTTACAAATTTTGCAAGTAAGAGTGAGGATAGTTTGTGTGTTGTGATAACTATAGATTTTTTGCTTCTTACATTAACTTTAAAATGTTTAGGTATGGTAATCATTTGGTGGAAAATGGTTTAATTCCAAAGCAAATAGAAACTTTTCAGAAATTTTGACAATTAGTGAAAACTATTTAGCTATTTGTATTTATAGAATTGAAGTGGTTACTAAATAAAATTAATCTCCTTTTTTTAGTTTTCTTTACAATACTTAGATGACTGCCTATCATACTATCAATATTTTTGCGTCTCTTAATTTACCTCTATTTCCTTACTTTTTAATCTAATAAAAGTTTTATGAAAATCTTACTTTACTTCATAAAACAGGGGTTAATTAAAAAGATATTTGGGTCAGAGTAGAGCAATTTATTTTGATTTGAGTTTTAAAAAATATTAGTGCCAAAACACAAGTAAATAGACACACAAAAATTTGGGGATATACTTTATTAGAGCTGCTTTATTATACTTTATTAGAGCTATTATCCTATGCCATCACATTTTTTATTTTAATAATAACAAAGCCAAGAATCTAAAAAGGAATCTGTTTTGGAGAAGCTATTTTATTTTAAAATATATTTCATCATGTAAGTCCTTAAGAAAATAAATCAAACATATGAAAAATGTGTCATTTGGCTTTCTTTAATTGATTTGTTCTTTTCATGCCAGTTTACATAATGAGTACCAGAGTTGAGAATGTTCAATATCCAAAGAATTTAAATAACTAAAAGAGGCCCCTTAACATATTGTCAAAGCAGCTCATATGCTGTGTCTACAGACAGTTCAAGTTGCTTTTAGATTGTGTGATGTGATTGAGCTGTGTATAGATTTTTGTGAGGATTTGAAAGAAAACCATATTTCTTTTTATTGACTGGAAGCCTATATAAATCATGTTATGAAAAATACAGCGGGCACAATGTAAGGAAATGATATGAGATATAATAATCTTATTTTGGGGCCTTCTGTGTTGTTTTGCACTGAAACTTTAAGGGAAAATGGGCAATGATAGCCCATTCTTCCCCTTTTGGGGGAAATTTATTCCATTGTCTCATTTGTCACATAAGAATGGAACTATTCATTTTTCTCTATAAAATATAAAGGAAGTGATATTGTCATAGTGGTTTTGACTGTTTTGTTATATGGTTATGAAATTCTAACCTGAAATGGTTTTTAGGATAATCTGCCCTATTGTTTTAATCTCTTCATTGTAATTTGACATTTTAATTTTAGTTTTGTCAAGTTATTTAATTTTTAAATGCAGTTACTTTTTTGTACTATATTAAAGGCACAATAGCCATTTAAAAGGAAAACCCATGCACTTTTTTTTTGAAGAATAAGTGAGTATTTGAAATGCAAATGTTGCCTTCTGAAATGTTATATGGGATAACCAGAATCTGAGCTTTAAGCCTTTCCTTACTAAATCATTGCCTTATTACAGTAGAGAAACACAGATAATGCTGTGTAAATGTAGTCTAAGATCAATTGGATCCAATTAAATTTATTTGAAATGAATAGTCTTAACTGAAGAGAACAGCTGGAAAACTGGAGGAAGAAAAAACTGAGCCTTGAGTGAGACAGTTTAAATCTGCACCATGTCATTTAAAAAATAGGGTATAGGTTTTTTCTGTATATCTCTTTTTAAAGCTAATATCTAGTGATCGGCTCAACAAAGCAATGCCAATGTACATTGGTCAACGTAAGTTTCTTCTAACTCAAGGTTCACCAAACATTTTTATTTAGTTACGTTTTTTAAAAAAACAAATGGTCACTTTCACACCAATACTTTTTGGGATTAGCATATTCTGCTCAGTGGAGATACAAATGTTGAATGTTCGTACAGAATATAAAGATGCAAATGTTTCTATTTTAGGAAAACATTTTTTCTTATACCATATAGCAGTACTTGTCATACTTTCTCTCTTAATGGAATTACTTCAGATATTGTCATCTATTTAAAAAAATTATGTTTTTATAGTAAATGACCTTCACAGTAGTAGAATAGAATAGATAAGAATAGAAAGATAGAATTCTTTCTATTTTATTGTTTTTGTTATTCAGCTGCTCTTTTTGTTTTTCTGAGTTT